TGTGACTATAATGGGAGGGCGCATCTCGATCATTGGCCATTATTATACTTCAAATCTTTGTGATGTTATCCTCCTTCTCTTAATTTTCTCATGTTCAAAAAAATAAAAAAGAAAAAAGAAAACAGGGACTGCAATAGGAAGATACTATGGCAGGATCTTGAGGTTTGGTTCAAAACCCAAATGGGTTCCTGCCCAATGAAGAAACTTAGAGAGATTTGGGGGCTGGTTTGCTGACCTTCCAGAAGATTTAGAAGAAGAGGGGAGGGATTAGTTCTTTTCTAAGTCAATTGTGTTGTGTGAAACCAAAATGCATCCCAAAACCATGAATATTAATTTGTTTGTGTTTATGCTATCTAGATGCTAGGCTGACAATTTACCCCAATCCTCACGAGATCCCGTGGGGCAGAGGTGAGGAGCATTTCTTCCCATGAAATTTCATGGGAAATTTTCTTTACCTTGTGGGGTCTCGTGCGATCCTTATTCCCTCAAAAAATTTTAAAAATAGGTAAATTAATTTTATTTTAAATTTAATTTAATCCATTATATCAATACATAATATACATTTCAAACCCAAATCTAATACAATAAAATTAAACTTAATCTAATTTTACCAAACCCAACCCAACTCATAAAAATTAACCCAATCCATTATTAACCCTAACCTTACTCATCTCATCACTCTTAACCTTCCCCTCCCGTTTTGCAGTTAGCACTCAAGACTCTCTCACCTTTCACCTTTGCCTTTCACTCTTAACCTATTGATTTGCTAAGGTTGTTGCTAGAGTCAGACTACACTATGCTATACTGTTGCTGCTAAATCCATCTAGACTGCTATGCTTGTTATCGAACTCAAAGCCATCTTTCAAATCCATTTGGGCTGTTGCGCCTGCTATCGAACTCAAAGCCATCTACTGATCCGATCTGTTGGATTGTTGAACTAGATTGCTGAACTTTGTCTCTACTACCAGACTACTTCACCTAGACACCTGTAGATCCAAACGATTAGAAGTTTAAATAATTTATTTATGATTGAATTGATATAGAAAAAGCTCGAATTTTCTAGAATTTACTTGATTCTCTAACTACTCATAACCATTTCTACTAGTGAATTGCCTAGTTAATTTTTTTGCATATACATATAATATAAAAAAGTATAGTAACTTCTCAGCAAAATCAAAAAATTGAGAAAATTATGAATGCCCACTTGTTTAGGAGAAAACAGAAAAGTGAAACTATGAAAGGGAAAAATTCCCATTAATTAGAGAAAAGTTCAAATATATTTTTTAATAACTAATTTGGTATAAGAATCTATTTTATATTTTGATGTAAAAGCATAACTATTTTTTTTAATTCATTATAATTAAATATTAATTAATTATGTGTAAATAAATTTATATTTTGATATTAATCGATAAGAAATGAAAATTCACATAAAAACGAGAATAAAAAACAAAATTTACCTCCTATAAAAAATCTCCAAAAAAATCCTTGTCCCGAGCTGTTCGCGAAGATGGGGATAGCGAGAGACTTTCTGGTCCTGTGACCCCCTTACCATCCCCCTATTAAATGCCACTAGCTACACAAATTTCTCACATTTTTCTTAGGTTTTTTTTGCTTAGGGCCATGAGAATCTTTCATCAGAGTCGAATTCCTAAATTCTTAGCAAGATGTATCGTAACAATATTGCTATTGCTGCTTTGATCGAGGTAATTGAGAAAGGAAGACATGCAGAGAGAGAGAAGGAGAGGAGATAATGTTAACGGTGTTAATATTTCTCCGTTGCATGCGATGAGTTGGCTATCATTTACTCAAAATTTGATTACGTGTCTATTTTCTATTGAGCCAGGACCACATCAGCTTGTATTCCCGAGATACAGTATACTTTCTCGCGCTTAACCCAGGAGGCAGGGGCTGACGCCTCACCTTTGGGGCTCTTGTGAAAGAGAATAATAGCTATTTTTTATTTAAAAATAATTTTAGATTTATAGTTATTTTAAATTTTAAATAAATTTTTTTAAAAAAATTTATTTATATATAAATTTTATATATTATATTTATATAAAATTTTAATTATTTATCTCTTCACTTTTAATAATTAAAATTTATTAAAATATTTTAAATAAAAAATAATTATTTTTAATAA